AGGGGACGGTCCGGGGCCTCTCATCCGCAGGGCTCACCGTCTCTCATTGGAAAGGGATTCCCTCCATCGACTGGGAAGGATTGGGTTTGAGGTGGGAGGGAGCTCGTTGGGAAATCCAGTCACTTCCGGTGGAGATGGGCCCACAGGCGAGAGTGGGTGACTCGAAGTCACAACCAGGACGAGGCGGCGGGCTCCCGGCTCCTGACCCCAACACTCAGCTCCTTTTACCCGAAAGCACGTGCCCCCACCCCTGACCCCTCGGGGAACAGGGGTGACCACACACACACAGATGGGCCATGATCTGATTAAGAGTTGATAACCTGGCCCGTGTGGCAAAGTGGTTGAGCGTCGACCTATGAACCAGGAGGTCACAGGTCCGGGTTGCAGACTCGATCCCCAGTGTGGGGCGTGCAGGAGGCAGCAGATCCATGATTCCCTCTCATTATTAATGTTTCTCTCTCCCTCTCCCTTCCTCTCTGAAATCAACAAATATATTTTTTAAAAGGCTGATAAGTGAGCGGTCTCAGGAACTGCCTCCTGGAGAGCGAGACCGGAAGACCTGCCTGTGAGAGCGAGGCAACCAGGCACGTGGGCCGTGGGCGGGGCAGCAGCCGGTCCCTGGTGCTGGTGTGCGTGAGCCGTGGGACCTGGGCACGTGCCTCGGCCACCCCTCACCTCCCCCTCTGGGACGCAGGGGGAGACGAGAGCACCGTGAGGCCGACGGGGGAGCGTGGAGGCCAGCGAGCCTTGGAGAAGCGGAGGTCGGACCACACGCCAGCTCTCGCTCTTTCCTAAGACGTTATGGCTTCCAAACTCCTGCCTGCCCCAGGCTCCCACGCCGGAGGCGGGGGGTGCGGGGGGGCGGGGGAGCAAAGCTGATCCCCAGGTGACACGGCACCTGCCCAGCTGCGGCTTCCTGACCCCTGACGCCCAGCGGCCTGCGGGGCCTGTTGGGGCCTCGGGACCTTGGGGCTGTGCAGTGAGCTGTCACCAGGGCTCCCCGGCCATGTTTCTAAAAAATCCTCCCCGAGGATATTTCTTCCCATTGATTTTTAGAGAGAGTGGAAGGGAGGGGGAGAGACAGCGAGAGAAACATCGATGGGCGAGAGACTGCTGCCTCCTGCCCGTGCCCTGACTGGGGCCGGGATGGAGCCTGCAGCCAAGGAACGTGCCCTTGATTGGAATCAAACCCGAGACCCCTCTGTCCGCAGGCTGATGCTCTGACCACTGAGCCGAACGGGCTGGGGCGCCCAGGCCATGCTTGTACCGTCCCACCGCCCCAGGGGTCGCGAGAGCCTGCAGACACAGGCAGAGCGGTGTGACGGAGGAGAGACGTGACGGAGAGACTGTGCTTAGGACCCAGCGGACTAGGAGCCTGTGGGGGGACCCAGGACCCCCCATCACCGCCCGTGTTCAGCGAGAAAGCCAGGGGGAAGGGGGAGTCTTCCTGGCGTGGGCTATAGACCACAGCAGCCACCGCCGTGCGGAGATGCAGTGAGCAGCCGCGAGTCACACGGCCCAGGCCCTGGGCTCGGCCCGGCCTGCGAGGGGTGTGTGAACACGCCCAGCGTCTGTTTGTGCAGCTCAGTAAACTACACAGTTGTGCTGTTTTCTGGGCTAGCCTTTTTTTTTTGTAAATCTCTAATGATTCCAGAGAGGAAGGGAGAGAGAGATAGAAGCATCAATGATGAGAGAGAATCATGGATCCGCTGCCTCCTGCACGCCCCACACTGGGGATCAAGCCCACAACCCGGGCCTGTGTCCTGACTGGGAATCGAACTGTGACCTCCTGGTTCATAGGTCGACGCTCAACCACTGAGCCTCACTGGCCGGGCGAGATCCA